GATACACAGAATATAACTGGATAGAACATTTATAGGTGACGGTGATCCAGGGAATATCCGATTGCCTCTCGGGGGATCAGGAAGGAATTTTTTTTCCCTGCAGGAGCAAAGTGGATCGTACTTTGCTGGGTTTTTGCCTTCCTCTGGATCAACTGTGGGTGTAGGATTATAACTTTTTTTTTTAATGGTTGAACTGGATGGACTTTTGTCTTTTTTCAGCCAGACTAACTGTGTAACTATGTACTGGCAGGATTGGCAGGATTGACTGATAATCAGATTCTGTAGCGGGGGGGGGGGGGGGGGGGGGACTGCTGTGGTAAGGCTGGGGACAGACTGCAGCCTAGATGCCATTTTTTATTTTTGCACTCTAGTTGGTGAAACCGTGATTTACCGATAAGCCCCATGAGGACACAATCCCGATTCTCAGGCCGTCTCCAATATAGATTGTCTTCTCTCTACAAATAACGGCATTCAGCACTGGGACCTGTATATATCATTAGCGCCCCCTTCAGGGAACACATGACCAGCCACGCCCAACGCACACCCCTCTCCTACCTGACTTGGTGCCCCTGGGGTGCTCAGGTGTCACCATCTCCCAGCGATCGGCCACATTCATGGCCTGCAGGGAGGACACAGGAATCCCTGGCATCTCCACCTGACCTAGTTCTCTCTCCTCCTCCTCCAGAATCTCCTCTCCTGTTCTGTCTAATCAGCTCTCAGGTTCTGTACACAAGACAAATCCCAACTGTCACTATCATCGAAGGCAGTTCCCTCGTCTGTACTAGTGACGGATCGAACACCAATCCCCCCCCCATTCAGTTCGTGGTCGAACATTCGAACCGGGACAATTCACCAAGTTGTATCAGAGTCTGTGGTAAGATACCGCACAGCATTTAAAAAGAAAGAAAAAAAAAAGCCTACTAAAATACGGGATGTTATTTTATTACGTCATGCGGTATTTTAATAGTAAAAACATGCTTTCATGTTCCCCGCTGACAGCTGAATGGAAAAGAATTGCTGGCAATTACAAATTTTGAAAAAATAAAAAAAAATGGCGTGGGGGGGCGCCCCCTTCCCATCCTGAACCATACTAGGCCACATGCCCTCATTATGGGGGGGGGGGGGGGGGTGCAAGCTCTCTCCCTTCCCCTCCTGAACCATACTAGGCCACATGCCCTCAAATTGGGGGGGGGGGGAGCAAACTCCCCCTTCCCCTCCTGAACCGTACTAGGCCACATGCCCTCAATATGGAGGGGGAGCAAGTGCCCCCTTCCCCTCCTGAACCATACTAGGCCACATGCTCTCAATATTGGGGGGGGGGGGAAACAATTGCCCCCTTCCACTCCTTAACCATACTAGACCACATGCCCTCAATATGTGGGGTGGAGAGCAAGCGCCCCCTTTCCCTCCTGAACCATACTAGGCCACATGCCCTCAATATGGGGGGGTGGGAACAAGTGCCCCCCTTCCCCTCCTGAACCGTACTAGACCACATGCCCTCAATATGGAGGGGGAGCAAGTGCCCCCTTCCCCTCCTGAATCATACTAGGCCACATGCTCTCAATATTGGGGGGGGAAACAAGTGCCCCCTTCCACTGCTGAACCATACTAGGCCACATGCCCTCAATATGGGGGGTGGAGAGCAAGCGCCCCCTTTCCCTCCTGAACCATACTAGGCCACATGCCCTCAATATGGGGGGGTGGGGAGCAAGCGCCCCCTTCCTCTCCTGAACCGTACTAGGCCACATGCCCTCAATATGGAGGGGGGGGGGAAACAAGTGCCCCCTTCCACTCCTGAACCATACTAGGGCACATGCCCTCAATATGGAGGGGGGGGGGGGGGGGGAAGCACGCGCTCCCTTCCCTTCCTGAACCATACTAGGCCACATGCCCTCAATATGGGGGGGGGGGGGGACAAGTGCCCCCTTCCCCTCCTGAACCATTCTAGGCCACATGCCCTCAATATGAGGGTGGGAGGGTGGGAACAAGTGCCCCCCTTCCCCTCCTGAACCATACTAGGCCACATGCCCTCAATATGGAGGGGAGCAAGCGCCCCCTTCCCCTCCTGAACCATACTAGGCCACATGCTCTCAATATGGGGGGGTCCCTAAAGCAACGGTGTACAAGGGATTGGGGGATCATTTCAGGAAGGAGAGTGGGGTGGGGCTGGTGAACATGTCATATTTTGCCCCTTTCTTTTCTGAACGAATATAGTAAGTGATCGGTACCGATCCCTCACTGTGTTCACTCACAAATGAAACATAGTAAACTGTTTACTATCCTTCAGTTTGTGAACAAACAGGGAGGCTCTGTACAGAGCACCTCCTGTTCATTTATCTGTAGGCCAGCTGAAGGTGCAGAGAAAGGATTGGGGATCTGTGTTAAAAAAGTGAGACATCAGTCTGCAGGATATTTCACCAAAGCCCCTACTCCCCCACCCTCGAACAGCATTGTGAAAGAAAAATAGAAAACCTAAAATTAAAACAACGTGAAAAAAAAAAAAAGTACAAAAATGTAAAACAAACCCCAAACATTTGTAAAAGAGGATTTAAAAAAAAAAAAAATAAATAAATAAATAAATATAAGAGGCTCATTCACACGGGTTGTCTGGACCATATAGTTTTAAATGAGCGGTTTGTTTGTTCGACCGGAGCGGCTTGTTGCTCTATCGGGACGCAGTGGCTGTACAAACCCAGTTGCAGGTCCTAATTTGACAGGTGTGCAGATGTGGACGAGTCCCTGAATACACACCGTCTGCCTTCAGGGCCCTCCACCTGTACCCACACGCCTGTCAAACTAGGACCTGCGGCTGTGTTCATATAGCTGCTATAACCTATAGCGTAACATAGGCCGACTGCACACAGCCCCAGCCACATAAAAAAACAAAACAAAAACAACAAAAAAACCACACAAAAAAATAAAAAAACACACAAAAACAAAAAAAACGAAAAAAAAAAAACCCCACCACACTGATTGACACTATACAGGCCACAGCACCTCAGTGCAGTTTTATCTTTTAGATCTAGCAGGAATTTAAGTTATGTTGTGTTTGCTAACTTTGATTTTAGTGGATTCTTAGCGTAAATATCAGTTTGATGTTTTCCGTGGGGGGGTGGGTGGGGACTGGGGGTCCCTGTACAGGGCCCCGTGGTTTCTAACATTGGCCCTCAATGCAAAGATAAAAGGCGTGAGAGAGAAAAAAAAAAGAAAAAGAAAAAGAAAGGAGGGTGAGAAAGGAGGGTGAGAAAGGGGGAGAGTTCCGCTTTGCTTGGTGTGACACACCTTAAAAATAATGCGCTTTTGTGCTTCTCTGTGGTTTGTGGTAAATGTAAAGGCATATTTCTACACGCTCAGGAGGAGGCAGTTATTGTTTTTTTTCTTAGACTTTGTAACAAATGAGTTGTTTTACAGAAAAGGACTGTGAAAGATATCAAAACATTTGCAAAATGGCAAAAAAAAAAGAAGTTTGACAAGTTAATGGGATTGCTGGGATTTGTAGTGCTCCAGAGTCTAAAGGTTCTCCATTTCCCACATTCTATCACAGCTACAGTGCATGCTGGGAGCTCTAAAGGAAACTTCTTCAAACTTCTAGAACTTCTAGAAAACAAACCTTTTCAAAATTAATCTAGAGGCGCCCCCTAGGGGACAGTCACCAGTGCGGCATGTTGTAATACAGATGAATCTAGAGGCGCCCCCTAGGGGACAGTCACCAGTGCGGCATGTTGTAATACGGATGAATCTAGAGGCGCCCCCTAGGGAACAGTCAGCAGTGCGACATGTTGTAATACGGATGAATCTAGAGGCGCCCCCTAGGGGACAGTCAGCAGTGCGGCATGTTGTAATACAGATGAACGTAGAGGCGCCCCCTAGGGGACAGTCAGCCGTGCGGCATGTTGTAATACAGATGAATCTAGAGGCGCCCCCTAGGGGACAGTCAGCAGTGCGGCATGTTGTAACACAGATGAATCTAGAGGCGCCCCCTAGGGGACAGTCAGCAGTGCGGCATGTTGTAACACAGATGAATCTAGAGGCGCCCCCTAGGGGACAGTCAGCAGTGCAGCATGTTGTAACACAGATGAATCTAGAGGCGCCCCCTAGGGGACAGTCAGCAGTGCAGCATGTTGTAATACAGATGAATCTAGAGGCGCCCCCTAGGGGACAGTCAGCAGTGCAGCATGTTGTAACACAGATGAATCTAGAGGCGCCCCCTAGGGGACAGTCAGCAGTGCAGCATGTTGTAACACAGATGAATCTAGAGGCGCCCCCTAGGGGACAGTCAGCAGTGCAGCATGTTGTAACACAGATGAATCTAGAGGCGCCCCCTAGGGGACAGTCAGCAGTGCAGCATGTTGTAACACAGATGAATCTAGAGGCGCCCCCTAGGGGACAGTCAGCAGTGCAGCATGTTGTAATACAGATGAATCTAGAGGCGCCCCCTAGGGGACAGTCAGCAGTGCAGCATGTTGTAACACAGATGAATCTAGAGGCGCCCCCTAGGGGACAGTCACCAGTGCGGCATGTTGTAACACAGATGAATCTAGAGGCGCCCCCTAGGGGACAGTCAGCAGTGCAGCATGTTGTAACACAGATGAATCTAGAGGCGCCCCCTAGGGGACAGTCAGCAGTGCAGCATGTTGTAACACAGATGAATCTAGAGGCGCCCCCTAGGGGACAGTCAGCAGTGCAGCATGTTGTAACACAGATGAATCTAGAGGCGCCCCCTAGGGGACAGTCAGCAGTATTGAATTTTGTAATCCAGTTTTCGGATAGAATAGAAACTCAAACTGCTCAACAAGGCAGAACAAAATGCAAAACATTTGCCGGATTTTGCAGTCAGATTTGTCATAATTATAAACTCATTTGCTGCATTAGTCAGCTTAGTTCACATCCATTGCCTGGAGGATGACGGTATAAAAACTCCAGATGCAGGAGATCTGAGATTGTCAAAATCAGTTGGTGATATTTATTGTCCCCAGTTTTCCCTGAACGCAAACACTTACCATGACCACAGACATGACTATGAATATAATGGCCACCACCACGATGAAAGGGATGAGATAATATCCAAAGTTGAGGTTATATTCTGGGAGGAGAAAGACGTGAGCACTGCAGAGAGAGAAGGGGAGAGAATGAGAGACATCAACTGCGGGCGTGGGATTCTGTATATGGAGGTTCTCTAATTATAATTCTATTGGTTGAACTTGTATATGTCTTTTAGCAACCTGACAAACCATGTAGGTAATACACAGAGGGAGAGAGAAAGGGGGAGCAAAACAGAGAAGGAAAGAGATAGAGAGAGAAAAAAAAGGAGCATCAAGAAAGAGGAGAGCAGTAAAAAGGAAAGATAAAAGAACAAAGGAGAAGGAGAATGTGGGGGTGGAGGGGAGGACAGAAAGAAGAGAGTGAGAGAGCAAAAGAAGGAAAAAAAACAAGAGCAAGCGAAAGAAAGAGCAAAAGAAAGAAAAGAGCAAGCGAGCGAGCCAAAAAAAAGAAGAAGGAAGGAGCAAGCGAAAGAAAGAGCGAAAGAAAGAGCAAAAGAGCAAGCAAAAGGCAAGCAAATGGAAAGAGCGAGCAAAAGGAAAGAGCAAAAGAGAAAAATCAATCGAAAGAGCAAAAAAAAGAGAGAGCGAGCGAAAGAGCAAAGGAAAGAGCGAGGGAAAGAGCAAAAGAAAGAAAGATCAAAAGAGTGAAAAAGCAAGCGAAAGAGAAAGAGCAAGCGAAAGAAAAAAAAAAATGCAAATGAAAGAAAGAACAAAAAAAAACAGCAAGCAAAAGAAAGAGCGAAAAAGCAAGCAAAAGAAAGAGACAGGAATGTGGGAAAAGAAAGGTTGGTCCCAGGAGACTGAGATAGAGAGGAAATGAAGAGCGATAAGAGAGCGGGTGGAAGGGAGATGGAGCGATAAGAGAGCGGGTGGAAGGGAGATGGAGCGATAAGAGAGCGGGTGGAAGGGAGATGGAGCGATAAGAGAGCGGGTGGAAGGGAGATGGAGCGATAAGAGAGCGGGTGGAAGGGAGATGGAGCGATAAGAGAGCGGGTGGAAGGGAGATGGAGCGATAAGAGAGCGGGTGGAAGGGAGATGGAGCGATAAGAGAGCGGGTGGAAGGGAGATGGAGCGATAAAGAGAGCGGGTGGAAGGGAGATGGAGCGATAAGAGAGCGGGTGGAAGGGAGATGGAGCGATAAGAGAGCGGGTGGAAGGGAGATGGAGAGATAAGAGAGCGGGTGGAAGGGAGATGGAGCGATAAGAGAGCGGGTGGAAGGGAGATGGAGCGATAAAGAGAGCGGGTGGAAGGGAGATGGAGAGATAAGAGAGCGGGTGGAAGGGAGATGGAGCGATAAGAGAGCGGGTGGAAGGGAGGTGGAGCGATAAGAGAGCGGGTGGAAGGGAGGTGGAGCGATAAGAGAGCGGGTGGAAGGGAGATGGAGCGATAAGAGAGGGGGTGGAAGGGAGATGGAGCGATAAGAGAGCGGGTGGAAGGGAGATGGAGAGATAAGAGAGCGGGTGGAAGGGAGATGGAGCGATAAGAGAGCGGGTGGAAGGGAGATGGAGCGATAAGAGAGCGGGTGCAAGGGAGATGGAGCGATAAGAGCGGGTGGAAGGGAGATGGCGCGATATACGGGGACATAAAGTAAGCTGTAGAGCAAGGGAAGGGCAGTGGAGGGGACACCAATAGACAGACGTAGAGAATGCAGGAATGAGGGAAAGGAAGAGGACAGACACGAAAGGAGAGGGATTAGTCCTGAGCATTGTCCCCCCAGTGACGGTCCCTTACTTGTCATAGTAGGAGAACTCCTCCAGCAGGATCCGGCCAGCGGTCGCCCCGATGAACACAGACGGGATGGAAATCTCGAGGCGGATGTGCTCTAGAGAGGAGACAGAGGAAGGCCGTCAGGCTGGCACCACATGGGGGGAGAATATAATGAAGGGATATCTCCTCCAGTGCTGTATGGGATGGACATGACACTTCCAGTCACAAGAGGCTGCCATGACTGTCCTTTAGCCCAGCAGAAGCACCCAGTAGCTACAAACCCATACTGGAAATGGGAACCAAAGCTGGCTTTTATGGAGCCATTTCTGACGAGCCTAGGGGGCCAGTGTCAGCGGGCCTTTGCATGCTCCAGACCCGCATCTCTCCCCATATGTCAAGCAGTGGTTCCCCACCTGTGGAACCTCAGGACCCATATTTGTTCTTGGTCATTAAGCCGCCACCCAAAAAACAAATTAAACATTTCCAAAACATAATTTATTCCACAAAACAACTTGTGTGCAGTATTCTACAATCGTACATAAAACACTTTTTTAGACTTTTAAAATATATAAATTTTAAGCATACGTGAAAAACCAAAAATCCAAATACCCCCCAACTTTAAGCAACGTTCCCCCTACCTCACACGAATAGCCCATTAGGCTGAGCAATGCCTCCTCTACCCCTCAACAATCAATATGTTTGTGCAATATTTGTTTAAGGGTATTCAGTCCCTCCCACCACTTCCTCCCAGCGTTGCCGCGGAGGAACGAGCGCAAGAGCCACGGGACCGCTTTGTAAGTGGCCATCTTAATCGGACCGGCTGGCCACAATAATACAAATATTATGACCGGCTGTAGTTGCAGTCCCAGCCGTCTTAACATTTATATGTTGTCAGGGCACCAGATGTATTATTGGAGCATTAGAGAGGCCTGGGGGGGCACTTGCCCCGCAGCCCAGTCTGCCCCTGGTCGTGACCCACTTTTTGGATCGCGACCCATTACTTGAGAAACAGGGGTCTAAAGAAATGCAAAAGCAGCTGTATCATGTCAAATGTAGACTAACAGCACTTGCAATGGATTCTGAACGATATCAGAAGGGTCTCAACCTGATTTCAGCTTGATTTGCCCAATGCAAGTCCTACAGGGGCCTACAGAAATCACAGAAGGTTTCTCCACTTGGATCAGGAAGAGTTTGTAGGACTTCAACCCAACATGACCATTGTAGACATCCCTTGCCTTGGTCTTCTCAAGGGGAGTCAGTTGGTTGTTTTGGATCTTTTGCTCCCCAAAGAGGTGAGTGCTGGGGATATCTGCTAAGTATCCTCCAATTAACTCACCATAGGCACATCACCAGGTCCGGGCTGAGAGGTAAGCAGAAGAGGGGCACTTCAGCAGGAGGGGGGTCCAACAAGGGCAGCACCTGTACCTCTGCTGCGGATTTCATTGACAGTTCATAGGGAGGAGACGGGGGGGGGGGGGGGGGGGGTACTTTTTGCCCCTTTTACCACGAGTGGTATAGAATCTTATTCCAGAAACACACACTGTTCAGAAAAATTAAAGGAAGACTTTGTAATCCGAATAGAACATCAAGTCACTGAAACTCCTGGGATATGGATCTGGTCAGGTAAGTAGCAGAGGGGGTTGTTAATCAGTTTCAGCTGCTTTGGTGTTCATGAAATTAACAACAGGTGCACTAGATGGGCAACAATGAGACGACCCCCAAAACAGGAATGGTTTTACAGACGGAGGCCACTGACATTTTTTTCCCTACTCATCTTTTCTGACTGTTTTTCACTAGTTTTGCATTTGGCTAGGGTCAGTGTCACTACTGGTAGCATGAGGCCATACCTGGACCCTACAGAGGTTGCACAGGCAGTCCAACTCCTCCAGGATGGCCCATCAATACGTGCCATTGCCAGAAGGTTTGCGGTGTCTCCAGGCAGTTTCAGGAGCATGGAGGAGATTCCAGGAGACAGGCAGTTACTCTAGGAGAGCTGGACAGGGCCGTAGAAGGTCCTTAACCCATCAGCAGGACCGGTATCTGCTCCTTTGTGCAAGGAGGAACAGGATGAGCTCTGCCAGAGCCCTACAAAATGACCTCCAGCAGGCCACTGGTGTGAATGTCTCTGTCCAAACAATCAGAAACAGACTTCATGAGGGTGGCCTGAGGGCCCGACGTCCTCTAGTGGGCCCTGTGCTCACTGCCCGGCACCATAGAGCTCAATTGGCATTTGCCATTGAACACCAACATTGGCCGGTCCACCACTGGCACCCTGTGCTTTTCACAGATGAGGGCAGGTTCACCCTGAGCACATGTGACAGACATGAAAGGGTCCGGAGAAGCCGTGGAGAACGTTCTGCTGCCTGTAACATTGTTCAGCATGACCGATATGGTGGTGGGTCAGTGATGGTCTGGGGAGGCATATCCATGGAGGGACACACAGACCTCTACAGGCTAGACAATGGCGCCCTGACTGCCATTAGGTATCGGGATGAAATCCTTGGATCCATTGTCAGACCCTACCCTGGTGCAGTGGGTCCTGGGTTCCTCCTGGTGCAGTGGGTCCTGGGTTCCTCCTGGTGCAGTGGGTCCTGGGTTCCTCCTGGTGCATGGCAATGCCTGGCCTCATGTTACGAGAGTATGCAGGCAGTTCCTGGAGGATGAAGGAATTGATACCATTGAATGGCCCCCACACTCACCTGACCTAAATCCAATAGAACTCCTCTGGGATGTCATGTTTCGGTCCATCCGACGCCGCCAGGTTGCACCTCAGACTGTCCAGGAGCTCAGTGATGTCCTGGTCCAGATCTGGGAGGAAATCCCCCAAGACACCATCCGTGGTCTCATTAGGAACCTCCCCCGACGTTGTCAGGCATGCATACAAGCACGTGGGGGCCACACAAACTACTGAGGACCATTCTGAGTTGCTGCAATGACATTCCAGCCAAATGGACTCGCCTGCTGCATCATTTCTTCACTTTGATGGAAATGAAAATGATTGACCTACAGAGGACTGAATTCAAAGACACCCCGAAAATCAAATGATGGGGCATCCTTATGTTCCTCACACATTACCCCGTCCATGTCAGTATAGAGATCCAGCAGGAGATATTTCCCCATTGAGAGACGATTTGTTTCCAAAGTCTTCCTTTCATTTTTGTGAGCAGTATAGAATGTCAATACTCATACTAACTCTGCACTGATGGCAGCTGGTTGGAGGGGACTTGACAACCCCATAAGGCACATTAGGCTTTTAAAATTGTAGAACATGTACACTAGGCAATACTGCAGCCTACACATAGAATAAAACGATAATAGCTGCAGGTGCCCCATAACACTTACCGTCATTCCATGCCATGTTCAGGAGTTTGTCTGAACCCACATTGTAAATGATAGCAGCGTCATATCCGGACTGCTGGGCATGTAGCACCTAGAGGGCAAGAGAACCACATTAGTACCTCTGCATCCTGCAGGAGGAGGACAGACTCATAGCCCCTTCTATGTGTGTCATCCTGCAGGAGGAGGACAGACTCATAGCCCTTTCTATACATGTCACCCTGCAGGAGGAGCACAGACTCATAGCCCCTTCTATGTGTGTTACTTGGCAGGAGGAGGACAGACTCCTAGCCCCTTCTATATGTGTCACCCTGCAGGAGGAGGACAGACTCCTAGCCCCTTCTATAGGTGTCACCCTGCAGGAGGAGGACAGACTCATAGCCCCTTCTATAGGTGTCACCCTGCAGGAGGAGGACAGACTCCTAGCCCCTTCTATAGGTGTCACCCTGCAGGAGGAGGACAGACCCATAGCCCCTTCTATATGTGTCACCCTGCAGGAGGAGGACAGACCCATAGCCCCTTCTATATGTGTCACCCTGCAGGAGGAGGACAGACCCATAGCCCCTTCTATATGTGTAACCCTGCAGGAGGAGGACAGACTCATAGCTCTTATATGTGTCACCTTGCAGGAGGAGGACAGACTCAGAGCCCCCTCTATATGTGTCACCCTGCAGGAGGAGCACAGACTCATAGCTCCTCCTATATGTGTCACCCTGCAGGAGGAGCACAGACTCATAGCTCCTTCTATATGTGTCACCCTGCAGGAGGACAGACTCATAGCCCCTTCTATATAGGTCACCCTGCAGGAGGAGGACAGACTCATAAGCTCCTTCTATATGTGTCACCCTGCAGGAGGAGGATGGACTCATAGCCCCTTCTATAGGTGTCACCCTGTAGGAGGAGGACAGACTCATAGCCCCTTCTATAGGTGTCATCCTGCAGGAGGAGGACAGACTCATAGCTCCTTCTATACGTGTCACCCTGCAGGAGGAGGACAGACTCATAGCTCCTTCTATACGTGTCACCCTGCAGGAGGAGGACAGACTCATAGCCTCTTCTATATGTGTCACCCTGCAGGAGGACAGACTCATAGCCCCTTCTATATGTGTCACCCTGCAGGAGGAGGACAGACTCATATCCCCTTCTATATGTTACCCTGCAGGAGGAGGACAGACTCATAGCCCCTTCTATAGGTGTCACCCTGCAGGAGGAGGACAGACTCATTGTTCCCTTCTGTCAAGCTCTATGCTGAATTGGTGACCTTTTCATCTTCTCTTTGGTTGGCTCACCTTGATATCAAAGTTGCATTCAAATCGGCGTATCAGAGCAAAGAATATTGTCTTGTTATCTTTTATGGGTGGGGGTGCGATTAGCTCACAGGCATATTCTGGCTCAGCTTGGATGATATATCCCTGTAGAAGAAGAACATATTCAGCGTCACTCAACAGAATGTGGATTATGCGAACTCTGACAATTGATCCCCTCTCCAACCCCACATGGGACAACACTGGACATCCTGACTGCATGCAGAAGGCTCCACCATTAATTCAGCCCCACTACCCAATCGGCATCACTTTATGGCCTTCATTTACCTGTAGCAAGTCCCAGAGAGCTAGTAGAGCACCTGTACAATTTAAAATGATCGTTACATTGTTTCTTCTGTGGAAACACTGGATTCTAAAACTTTCCGCCACTTAGAAAATGGGTGAATTTCTCATTTCTGTCCTTCAAGGACATCTGCTCACATTGGCTACCTTATTAGATCACCAGCTTGTTAAAGTGAATATCCAAACAGTGATTCCTATGGCTGCAGCTCATAAAGCATGCAGTCGTGTTCAATTGGTTTGGTTCACCTTGGCCCGGAAAAGAAAGAAGACAAAATGCGTGATCTAAGCAAATTTGACCAGGGGCTGATTGTTAGCAGATGTGGTGATGGCATCAGCCCAAAAACCCATGAACTCCTTGGATTTCCTGGAATATTTCGAGTGGGCCAAAAAGAAAAAGATGAACTATGTGAGCAGAAGTTCTCAAAAGAAACACTCGAGGTTCATTCAAAAAGATATATTAGTATACCAGTACACCTCCACCTCAATTAGGCGTGGTCACCGTAATCTCAACAACTTTGCAAACCCAACAAAAAGCCCAAAAAGGTGGGCACAGTGGTTACTTATGGTGACAAAACTAGGGGACTGGTGTATTAAAGTACAAGAAAAAAGGGGTTCTCTCTTCGGGAGAGCCCCCCTTACCAAGTACTGAGTGGCTTGCTTCAGCTGGCCACAAGGAACGGGGTCCGCCAGGCCTTTTGGCTAGGTGGACCAAATGGGAACCTTGTCCCTGTCAGGAGTTTCATGCCCCGGATGAGCAGGGTAGAGGTCCATACCCTTCGGGGGAAGGACAAAGCACACCCCTAAGTGCACTTTTTTGTGTGGTGTTTTGCACTTGCACGTTTTTTGTGAACACTTACGGGTTTTTTTTTTTTTGCACGTTCGCGGGCTTAAAAAAAAACAAGAAAAAAGTTCTAATATTTTCCAAAATACAATAAAATTTAGTATCTCAAAAAATTGCATAAAAAACCACCAGCGTGGAACCCAAACATAAATTTACTTGAGGATCAATGTGAAACATTTCACCAAGGACAGATAAACAAGACAACAAACAATACCAAATAAACATCCGTACGCTTGAGAGAAGTCATACATGGACTTATACCACAGCCGCATATATAATTAAGGACTTTGAATGAGGTATTTCCCATGTATGAATCCCTGGGACCCCAACACGGCCAACTATTTGCTGCTGCACCTAAATGCAATTTATTGTTAAATCATCACTGTAGGTCAGGGGTCGACTGACCATTCGAGAACTCGGGCATTGCCCGAGGGTCCGGAATCAGTAGGGGGCCCCATGAGATGCCCCTGGTACCTTTCATAGACTTTTTTGGGTGTGGAGTGTGGGTGAGGACACAGGGGTCCCATGATCCCCTGTTGCCCGGGGGCCCCATGAGTTTTCAGTCCACCCTTGCTGTAGGTCCAGGCTTCATTAAAGTAGCATGGATCTGGAGAAGTCAACATAGCAGTCCCAAAGAGTTCAGTTGGATACTGGGCACTCCTCCAGTGAAGGACGACTTATTTCTCTGGGAACTAGTGTCTTTATGTGAAGTGGTATATTTCGAGGGAAAGGAGACTAGAAGAGTCCTGTGCATAAACTGACACGTATGTGACCGTCCATACAAGAGTGCATTGGCAAGCTGTGGACATCAAAATTGACGTTGGTGTGTTTGGGATCTGTCAGGGTCCTGTCCACGGCAGAATTTCTGGAAGATCTGGCATTTCTGCCAGTACTCTGCATGGCTGCAGAAGTACACATCAGCCTCAGTTTGGTGCCATATGGCCTTTATAAGGAGGCTCATCACTTCCTCAAGTTGCTGGATGATCTCTAGCTCGCCGTGCCCTGTTCCTGTGAGTCTGACCTGTGATTACCAACTCGACTTGCTCCTGGACCTGTCTACTCTACTTTACTTTACCCCTGACTCTGACCTCGGCTTGGCTTACGGATGCTCTCTCACTCCTCTGTGTATGACCTCGGCTATCCCATCTGACTATGTCTGCTCTGATTCCCACCCGGTACCTGACCTTGGCTTGAACCGACTACCCAGTAAACATCTAAATCCCGGAAGGGCTTACATACCACGCACAGGCGCCTCCTGTCTGCAGACCTATCTCTGTGCACCAGCTGTGCTTCTGAGTGGACCACCAACCCGCACACCTACAGGCGACCTGTGCAACTTTGAGCCCGACTCCCGCTGTCCCACTCTCAGGGGAGTCCGGAACTTGGTATTCCCAGGTGGTAAGGTGGCATCACATGATGTTATGAGTAGCGTAGCTTCTTCTGGACTTTGAGCATAAGACCTTGATGGGCTCCTCGTGACGCTACGCCGCCGGAGCCAGATGGAGGCCCGGCGGCCATCTTTGATTTGCTACGGGTTAGTTTCACTCCTATACCCTGATGCTGTTTTTAGCTCTTGTTTGTTTGCAAACAAATTCTTAAACAATAAACATACTATTTTCAATACTACACTATGGGCATCGTTCCCTGACTCCCCGAGAGGAGTATTTATTCAGAGCCCTTGCCAAGGAGAGGAGTACTTGCTGTTAGCAGACAGCTCCATCCATCCCCTAAACAGGAACCTCTGGCTATCTGGATCCAATTAATCCTGACTTCTGGGCACCTGATGATGACCATCCTGAGGGAGGACTACCAGATTTGACCAGACCTTTACCTGATGAGGAGACATCTGGATATAATATATAACGCGTATTATTATATTTCTGGTGAGTGCGAAATTCTACTATTACCCACGGAGCACCACCATTGAGTCTACTAGTCACTTGGCACTTTACAACTACACAGACTGTTCATATTGAATAATATTTTAATCATTGCGAATACAATTTGTCTATTTTTTAGCGCTGCACTTTCTATTCTTTCTGTTATTTAAGGTTTGAGTTGGTTACCTTGAGTGCATAGCAGCTGTTTGGATAGCGCTCACTTTCACCATTGATTTTTAAGTATCAAATTGTGTTTGTGTGCGTTAAAATTAATGAAAGTATTAATGTATATTTTGGCCAATAAATTTGCATTTTAAAAGCTGCTGTGCAAATACTGCGGAAATAAAAAATTGCAACACCCACCATTTTATTCTCTATGGCCTCTGCTTACAAAGGAAAAAAAAAAAATTATATATATATATATATATATATAAATAATTGCAACACCCACCATTTTATTCTCTATGGCCTCTGCTTACAAAAGGAAAAAAAAAATAATATATATATATATATATATATATATATATATATATTTATATATATATATATATGTATGTATGTATGTATGTATGTATGTATGTATATATATATAAAAAATTGCAACAACCACCATTTTTATTCTATAGGTCCTCTGCATATATACCAAGAAACTTCCACTGCAGCAGGAATGAGCCACCTGTACGGGGTCAGAGAGTACAAAACTCTGGAGTACTCACCCGCAGTCCTTCAATGGGCAAAGAGATCCCAAATTGTGCGGGAAGGTCCTCAAATGCCTGAGGCTCCGTCGTATTTTTATCCGAGTACTGATGCAAAAAAAGAACAAAAAACACAATTCAGTCATTTAGAAGTCAAATTATAAAAAAATGATCTTAGCATTTGCACAGCTGTTGTGAATGATCCCCATAATGTGTTTGTTTCCTATGATCTCCAGCTCCACCTAGTGGCCGTAAAACAATATTTTGCTGATTGAGTTGTTTCAGGAAAATACCACATAATGGCCAACAGAGGGAGTTGGTGATCATAGGTAATAAACATATCAGACATATTATGTGGATTATTTGTGGATGCGAAGACACAGCAAATCTTTTATAAAACACTTTTGCTGCAAAAAAAAAAAAAAAAACACTCTAATGTGAAAGACAGACAGTATAGAACTGAAATGTGGATCGTCAGCTCCATCTAGTGGCTATATTGTGTAATTTTCCCAAAATTTGACCATCAGCTCCATCTAGTAGCCATGAGGCCGTATCCTCCTGAAATGTGATCACCAGCTCCATCTAGTAGCCATGAGGCCATATCCTCCTGAAATGTGATCACCAGCTCCATCTAGTAGCCATGAGGCCGTATCCTCCTGAAATTTGATCGTCAGCTCCATCTAGTAGCCATGAGGCCATATCCTCCTGAAATGTGATCGTCAGCTCCATCTAGTAGCCATGAGGCCGTATCCTCCTGAAATGTGATCGTCAGCTCCATCTAGTAGCCATGAGGCCGTATCCTCCTGAAATGTGATCGTCAGCTCCATCTAGTAGCCATGAGGCCGTATCCTCCTGAAATTTGATCGTCAGCTCCATCTAGTAGCCATGAGGCCATATCCTCCTGAAATGTGATCGTCAGCTCCATCTAGTAGCCATGAGGCCGTATCCTCCTGAAATGTGATCGTCAGCTCCATCTAGTAGCCATGAGGCCATATCCTCCTGAAATGTGATCGTCAGCTCCATCTAGTAGCCATGAGGCCGTATCCTCCTGAAATGTGATCGTCAGCTCCATCTAGTAGCCATGAGGCCGTATCCTCCTGAAATGTGATCGTCAGCTCCATCTAGTAGCCATGAGGCCGTATCCTCCTGAAATGTGATCGGCAGCTCCATCTAGTAGCCATGAGGCCGTATCCTCCTGAAATGTGATCGTCAGCTCCATCTAGTAGCCATGAGGCCGTATCCTCCTGAAATGTGATCGGCAGCTCCATCTAGTAGCCATGAGGCCGTATCCTCCTGAAATTTGATCAGCTCCATCTAGTAGCCATGAGGCTGTATCCTCCTGAAATGTGATCACCAGCTACATCTAGTAGTCATGAGGCCGTATCCTCCTGAAATTTGATCAGCTCCATCTAGTAGCCATGAGGCCGTATCCTCCTGAAATTTGATCACCAGCTCCATCTAGTAGCCATGAGGCCGTATCCTCCTGAAATGTGATCACCAGCT